CACACGCCTTTAATCCCAGCAGCACCTGGGAGGCAGAACCAGGCGGATCTCTGTGAGTCCAAGGCCAGCCTGGTCTACAGAGTGAGATCCAGGACAGGCACCAAAGCTACACAGAGAAACTCTGCTTTGAAAAACAAACGGTTTTGGCCCAAGCATGATGATGCATGCCTTTAAAATAAACAGAAACAGACAAATCTCTGTAAGCTGGAGACCAGCCTAGTCTTCATAGCAAGTTCCATGTCTGCCAAGGCTATAAAGTGAGGCTCCATTTTATTTTTTAAGAAATGAAAGGCTGCCCCCACCCCCTTCTTTTCTTTCTTTTTAAAGCTAGGTACCTGAGGCCAGAGAGATGGCTCAGCAGGTAAAGGTGCTTGCTGCCAAGACTGAAGACCTTTGAGAGAGCCAGACACCCACAACTTGTCCACTGATCTCCACATGCACACAGCAGCATACCTGCACCCCTCCATCCCTGCCACATATACACAATAAATAAATAAAATATAATGTTTTTGCTGGGCAATGGTGGCGCATGCCTTTAATCCCAGCACTTGTGAAGCAGAAGCAGTTGGATCTCTGTGAGTTCGAGGACAGTCTGGTCTGCAAAGCAGGTTCCCAGCACAGCCAGGGCTTTTACACAGAGAAACCCTGTCTCAAAACAACAACAAACCAATCAACCAAAAAAAAAAAAAAAAAAAAAAATGTAGAAACACGGGAGATGAGGATGTAGCTTTGTAGCAGAATACTCAATTAGCATGCACAAAGCCTTAGGGCTTGATCCCAGTATGAAGAAAAAATGATTAAATGGCATAAGATATAAGATTTACTTTAAAATGTTTTAAAGACTACATCAAAATTGTAATAGTATTTAAATGATGGGTATTCATGATATTTTCTCTACTTAATGTTTAAATCTTTCACCATAAAACAAAATTTTATGGGCAGCAGGTAAAAGCACATGACAAGCCATCCTAATGACCTAAGTTCAAATCCCTTGAACCCCAACTAACTCCCCAAAACGCCTCTCATCTCCTGACCTCCATATGCACACTGTGGCATGTACAGATCCACACCCACATCATATACAATAGTAATAAATTTAATGACATGCCAGGCAGTGGTGGCGCACGCCTTTAATCCCAGCACTCAGGAGGCAGAGCCAGGCGGATCTCTGTGAGTTAGAGGCCAGCCTGGTCTACAAAGGAGATCCAGGACTGGCACCAAAACTACACAGAGAAAACCTGTCTTGAAAAAATCCAACAAAACAAAACCCCCCAAAATGACATTTTCCAACAATAAAATATGAATGGAAAATATTCAGAAACATACAGTGTTTATCACCTAATAAACCAAGTCTCTCTCTCTCTCTCTTTTTTTTTTTTGTTTTGTTTTTTGTTTTTTGAGGATTTCTCTGCATAGCCTTGGCTATCCTAGAACTCATGCGTAGACCAGGCTGGCCTTGAACTCAGAGATACACCTGACTCTGCCTCCTAAATGCTGGGACTAAAGGCGTGCATCACCACCCAGCATGATAACTATTGAATTTTATTCAACAAATCTTTATAGTGGGTCTACAAATTGGAAGGCACTGTCCTAGGTGCTGCAGAGGACTAAGATAAGCACAGCAAAGGCCTTATAATTTGAAAGACTGAACCAAATCACATGGCTTATAGAGACTCTAAATTTTGAGATGTGCCTTGGAAGTATTCAATTTAAAGGGAAGAGAGAAGTTAAGGACACTGGGATAAACTCCATAGAGTTAAGAAAGCCAAGGACATGCAAAACACCCCACTCCCTGCATCCCAGGCTGGCTTTGAACTTACTTTGTAGCCTGGATGGCCTTGAACTCCTGATCCTCCTGGCCTTTCCCTCCTGAGCGCTAGAATTTCAGTTTATGCAATGCTAGGAATATAATCCAGGGCTTCAAGAATGCTAAGCAAGCATTCAACCAAATGAGTTGTAGCCCTAGCCAACGACAAGGCCCTTCTAGACCTGGTCTACACCCAGACCTCAAACTTCCATTACTTCCTGTCACTCAGCAAGAATCAGAAGCACCGAATGTCACAGCATTGACAGAAGTTCATTTCAGATGAGGCAGAAAGCCAAAAGCAGTGTTCACAGTAAGTACTTACGTTAAATCTGACACGCACACAGAGCTGGAGGTGTAGTTGAATGGCAGAGCACTTGACTAGCATACCCAAGGCATTGAGTCCAATCCCAAGCACAACAAGCCAAATAGACAGGCTGGTCTACGATATATTATATAGCCCAGGCTGGCCTCAAACTTGCAACCCTCCTGCCTCAACATCCCAAGTACTAGGATTATAGATCTGTGCCACTGTGTCTAGCAAGAAAGTGGAAATTCTATCCCTAAGGGGGCAATGTGGAAGAAACAACTGAGAGCTAGTACACACTTGATGTAAGACAGTAAAACCACGCATCCTACTGTTCTATCAGTGTCCCCTAGGCAGAGCTTGTATCTCTTCAATACCAAACCACTGCAAAATTCGAGTAAGGTACACTTATCTCTTGGAATCTTATACATAACCCTGAGCTTGCATGCCACTAGACTCTCTTTTTCCCCTAGTCGACTTATGGTAACGAGTACTTACTGTGTTTTCCAAATAGAGCAGATGATCTATTCCCATGTATTTATTTTTGAGACAGGGTCTCACTATGTAGCCCTGGCTGACCCCAAGCTCTCCATCCTCTTGCTTCTGTCGCCCAAATGTTGGAATGTAGGCACGGTTTACCATGCCCAGCTTCTCTCCCTTTTCTTCCCTCCTTGCTCCTGCAACCCGGTCAATCTCTTACTGTTCTGTGAAAAGCACATCTTCAAAGAGCTGTCTTAAAGGTATGGCTCTCAAAGGAACAGTTATCACAAAACTTTTTTTTAAACCTCAGCCAAATTCCAAGGCTACTGTTTTGGAGTGACTGGTAACAACAATGAAATGCAGCAAATTGACCATATGTTAAAATTATCTTTAAGAGTTGGCGATGTATGAATCAATTCCTAAAATATATCAACTGATCCTCAAAGGATCAAGTATGTAGAGACCTATGTAGTCCACATGATCTTGCAACACCAATTGGGATGCTCATGATGAGACAGACTTGCATCTTTCTTGTGCTGAAAACTCAATTCTGGAAACTGACAGCTATCTCTGGACCCCCTGCATGTTTTGTTTGTTCTAAGAAATTAACTGGTCATAATTTATATGCATTTAAACATCAACCCTTTTTTTTTTTTTTTTTTTTTTTTGGTTTTTCAAGACAGGGTTTCTCTGTGTAGCTTTGGCGCCTTTCCTGCATCTCCCTCTGTAGACCAGGCTGGCCTCGAACTCACAGAGATCCTCCTGCCTCTGCCACCCGAGTGCTGGGATCAAAGGCGTGCGCCACCGCCGCCCAGCTTCAAAAGCAATTTTAAAACAGAGCTCTTTGCAATAAGTCTAGAATGCAGGTCAAAGAAAACCAAGGCATACATCTGAGAGATAAATCTAGTGCCAACCCACCACTCTTCAAGAGTCTAGTAGTATCTTTACTGTTCTTTTAGTAATCCACAGTTAATTAAAAGCCTCGCTTTCAGGCCCGACTCTTAAGGAATCTTTTGTAGTATGAATGAGCCAGTTGTGTGCTGGAATTAGGACAGGTGCTAGCCGGTTAAAGCCCCAAGGCCTGCTCAAGTAAGGCCTCCTAAGCGGGAGGTTCGACTCCGGCAGGTGATTTCTTACCTGTGGAGTCATTGTAGAGGGATCTGGCTCAGGAGCAGCTTGTTTCTGTTCAGCACTCTTGTTCTTGGCCCCACTCTCCAAAGGCTCTTGATGGACAGTTGTTTTATTCCCAGAAGGGATGGACGGTGGTGGAAGTAGTTGGGGTTTAGAATGGCCCTGGGAGGAGCGGGAAGGAGATGCCTGAGAAGGGGGTAAGTAGGGCTGGGAATGGCTCAAATAAGATTGTGAGGAGGAAGAGGAGGAAGAATAAGAAGGGGTGGGCGCTAGATAGGGTTGGGAAGGTGGGGACTGTGAAGGGGACGGCTGAGCGGGAGGCAGGTAGGGCTGAGCTGAGGAAGGAGGGTAGTACGAGGGCGGTGGCTGAGGTGGAGGCATGTACGTCTGCGACGGGGGCATATAGGCTCCTGGAGGTACAGGGGGAGATTCAGGAGGGGACTCCAGCTCCATTGGAACCAAACCAGGAGGTCCATCTCGTTGGTGGTGGAGTATCTGGTGTTTGTACTGCTGCTGCTTCTGATAGCTGATGGCTGGCCCAGGTGGCGGGGGCATCGGTGGCGGCGGCGGCTGCCAGTCTCCGTAGCCGCCCCCCGGCATCACCGGCGGGGGTGGCATCGGAGGCGGAGGAAGGTGGTGGGGTTGGAGCACGCACTGCATTTGTTCCTGGTGCATCTGCTGCAGCTGCTGGAGCTGCGCCAAGTGCTGCTCTCGGAAGCTCATGAAGCCCGAAGAGGAAGGGGCCGCGGGGGCCGTCGAACTGGAGTATCCGGGCCCCGGCGAGGCCTCAGGAAGCGCCACCGGCGGCGGTGGCGGGACCGGCGGCGGCGGGTAGTGGCTGTTCCCGCCATACCGGCCCCAATTCGGGTACATATCGGAAACGAAGGCGCGGAGCTCGTCCCGGCGCCGTTACTCGTCGCAACCGACCTCCAGGAGCAGCGGCGGTGACGGGGACAGCCGGAACTCGCGGCGCCTGCAGGCCGCGGAGCGTGTGAACGGAGCGCGCCAGTGCGCCGGCGCTACGGCGCTAGGCCCGCGGTCGGGAAGGCGGGGACCGTGCTGAGGCGACTACGCCTGCGCAGTAGCACCGAGAGGAGAACAAAGGCCAGCTAGAGGGGACCTGTACGCCGCTACTCGCTGTTGCCGCCTTCCTTCAGGTTCGGAAAATGTAGGCGGGAATAGAACGTCGTCATAGAACCGAGAAACCATGGAGTCTCACAGCCAAAAGAAGTGGTAGAGATCCTATCGCCCTTCGGGTTCAGTTTTGAATGGGGGGGGGGGGGGGGGGGGAGGAAGGTAAGACTCCATTCCCATTAGCAGCAAGAACATAAAACAAGAAGGAATAAAACTTCTAGTTAGAAAAAAAAATCTAGAAATTATATGAAGAAAACTGCAGAATCATACCTGAGAATAAAATTCAACTTGAAATAATGGAGAGGCTTACAGTAATCCTGAGTAAAAAAAAAAAAAGAGAGGAAATTTTGGAAAAGTGACACTTCTTCCAAGTTAAATATATTGATTTAACTCCGTCAACCCACTGTCCGACTAGGAACAATAGTATGAAGAATGGAAATGGATTCCGAAGGAAGAATGTGAAAACGGCCCTGATTCTTTCCTTCAGGTAACATCTACAGGTACAGTAAAATAAAAGAAATGGAATTGTTTGGATTGATTTTTTTTTTTTAATTTTTAGTTTTTTGAGACAAGGAATTCACTTGGTAGACCAGGTTGGCTTCTAACTCACAGAGATCTGCCTGCCTCTGCCTCCCGAGTGCGGGGATAAAAGGCCTGTGACACCACACACGGCTTAGATTGCTTTTTTTTTTTTTTTTTTTGCAAGACAGGGTTTCTCTGTGTTGCCCTGGCTGTTCTGGAACTCACTCTGTAGACCAGGCTGGCCTTCAACTCAGAAATATGCCCGCCTCTGCCTCCCCAGTGCTGGAATTTAAAGTGTGCCCCACCACACCCCGGTCTAGATTGAATCTTTTAACAGGTAAAAATTTCTTGGTGGAGAGTCCTCAAACCTAAGGCAAAGCCAAGGAAAGGTAACTTAGAAGCTAATCTTCTAAACCTTAGCAACAAGATATTAAAGTTTCTTTGGTTTGGTGATTGCTAAAAATTAGAGGTGAGCCAGGCGGTGGTGGGCTATGCACGCCTTTAATCCCAGCACTCGGGAGGCAGAGGCAGGCGGATCTCTGTGAGTTCGAGGCCAGCCTGGTTACAGCGTGAGATCCAGGACAGGCACCAAAACTACACAGAGAAACCCTGTCTCGGAAAAAAAAAAAATTAGAGGTAGTACAGTGAATTCTGACTAAGGAAAAACTACACCAAATTTTAAGTGTATCAGCACATGTGTGATCTTGCTTGCTTCCTAGCAACCAGATTTTTAGCTGTCTCAGGTGGATGTGGGAGGTAGGTGGGGGGGCTAGGAATTTAGTTTAACATTTTATTGAAGTAGCATAGAAATACATAAAGTTGCATGCTATAAGTATAAACCATAATTAATTTTCACAACCCAATCACATTTGTCCTAGCTCAAGAAATAGCCATGTGCTGTTTGACTTTTCCAGGGGAGATACAATTTAAGTCTACTCAGCCCAGAGAGGAAGCCTACAACAGCCCAAAGTGTGTATAACAATGAGTTTAATTGTGGTTACTTAAAGAAATATGGGAGAAGAGGCTGTCCGGTGGCCCATGCCTTTAATCCCAGCACTCGGGAGGCAGAGGCAGGTGGATCTCTTGAGTTCGAGGCCAGCCTGGTCTACAGAGCGAGATTCAGGACAGGCACCAAAACACAGAGAAACCCTGTCTTGAAAAAAAAGAAGAAAAGAAATATGGGAGAGGAGTTTCAGGAGCACAAATAATTCAAAGATCACTGCATCAGTAAAGCTCACTCCAGCATGGGGAACAACAGCTCACAAAAGCTGGAAAACCTGGAGCATACTGCAGAGCCTGCAAGCTGCTCCACACGTTGGAGAGTGTCAGCCTCCCACACTTGGTTCTATACCTCTTCCTGACAGCTTAGCTTGCTTGGGCTTCTTTCAGGCTGCTTATCTTGTCTTTTTTGTGGCGGGGCTTGTCTGAGAGTGGCTCTCTGGGAAAGAGGAGCCTAGTTAATCCCGTCAGTTTCAGAGACTTCCTGAAACTCTTTTGTGTTGTTGACATTCTGTCTGAAAGAGCTTCCTGAGTGATGGAGTGTTTCAATCTGGGAGGAAACTGCTGCACAACAGCTTGTCATACAGCTCAATTGGTAGAGTGCTTGTCTACTATGCCTGAAATCCTGGGTTCCGCTCCTCAGCATCACATAAAACTGGCACACAACTGTAATCCCTTCCCAGCGATCTGGAAGTGGAAACTGGAGGATCAGAAATCCAAGGTCATCTTCCGATACATAGTGACTTCCATGAGTTTACATGAGACCCTGCTTCAAAAAGAACAGTAAGAAAAATGGAATGGTTGGACTTGGCAGCATATTTCTATAATCACAGCATTCCAGGCTGAGGCAGATGAGTTCCAATCTGCATATGGCCTACAAAGTATTCTCCAGCTCAGCCTGTGTTATGTAACAAGATCCTGCCAAGAAAGCAAAAACTGGAGAAAAACAAAAACAAAACAACAAAGAACACTGATTATAACTAGGTGGCCAGATCTTGCCATGAGAATTCATGTTCTAGCTTTCTGGGTGCTTAGGTGCCTGAGGTACTCCTGGTTTAAATGCAGGCAGCTAGAGGGTAACAAGATGAACAAAGGAAATGCAGATGAGAATTGCAAAAGTAAACAGAAACTGGAGGGAAAAAAACTGCCCCAAAGAGTTAAAGAACTAAACTAATTGAATGTGGCAGGTTCAACTGAAGAGTTAACTAAAGAAAAAAAGTGTAGAACATGTTACTGTTGATGACTTGGTGGAAGAAATGGCTCCCAAAGGCAGACAGACTCCTGATAGCTGGCAGTGTAAAAGAGTAACTCCTGTAAAGAATAAAAACATTCCTTGCTCAGTATGCTAGTTTTTTTTTTTTTTAAGATTTATTTATTTATTATGTATAGTGTTCTGTCTGCATGTGTCCCTGCACGCCGGAAGAGGGCACCAGATCTCATTACAGATGCTTGTGAGCCACCATGTGGTTGCTGGGAATTGAAATCAAGACCTGTGGAAGAGCAGCCGGTGCTCTTAACCTCTGAGTCATCTCTCCAGCCCCAGCATGACAGTTTTTACAGTGAATTAGGATATGCTGTTCTATGGATTTATTTATGAAAATAAAATGCAATAAATTTTTTAAAAATTGATTTTACAGCCAGGTGGTGGAGGCTTTAATCCCACCCAGCACTCAGGAGGCAGAAGCAGGTAGATCGCTGAGTTCCAGGCCAGCCTGGTCTACAAGAGAGTTCCAGGACAGCCAGGGATACACACAGAAACCCTACCTCAGAGAAAAAAAAAAAAAAACACCAACCAAACAAACAAACAAAAAATTGTGGTGGGTTAGAGTGAGTGGCCCCCACAGACTCATGTGTTTGAATGCTTGGCCCATAGGGAGGGGTACTATTAGGAGGTGTGGCCTTGTTGGAGGAAATGTGTCTGTGTGGAGGCAGGCTTTGGGGGTCTCATATGTTCAAGCTATGCCCAGTATGGCACACAGTCTCCTTCTAATGCCTGTGGATCAAGATGTAGAAATCTCAGCCCCTTCTCCAGCATCACGTCTGCCTCCGTGCTGCCATGCTTCTCGCCATGACAATAATGGACTAATCTTCTGAGACGGTAAGCCAGCCCCAATTAAATGTTTTCCATATAAGAGTTGCCATGGGCCAGGTGGTGGTGGTGGTGGTGGTGGTGGTGGTGGTGGTGGTGGTGCACACCTTTAATCCCAGCACTCGGGAGGCAGAGCCACACGGATCTCTGTGAGTTTGAGGCCAGCCTGGTCTACAGAGCAAAACCCAGGACAGGCACCAAAACTACACAGAGAAACCCTGTCTCAGCAAAAAAAACCAAAAACCAAAACAAAACCAAAAAAAAAGAGTTGCCATGGTTATGGTGTTGCTTCACAGCAACAAAACCCTAAGACAAAAAAAAATTGATTTTTTTTTTTTACCAAATTATATTTATTTTTGTTATAAACTATAAATTGCCTGATGTGTGTCTGTACACTATATGCATGCAGAGTCCAGATGAGAGTTAACTGCTGAGCCAACTTTCTGGTCCCTTGTTTTGTTTTTTAGATAGGTTCTCACTGTGTAGCTCTGGTTAGCCTGGAACTTGCTTTGTAGGCCAGGCTGGCCTCAAACTCAGAGATCCATCTGCCTTTTCCTACCAAGTACTGAGATTAAAAATGTGTGTCACAAGGACTGGAGAGATGGCTCAGTGGTTAAGAGCACTGAATGCTCTTCCAGAGGACCTGGGTTCAATTCCCAGCACCCATATGGCAGCTCACAACTGTCTGTAACTCCAGTTCCAGGGTACCCAACACCCTCACACAGACATACATATACTAATGCACATAAAATAAAAATAAATTCTTTTAAAAAAAATGTGTGTCACCATGGCTGGCTTTTGTACAATGGTAAAAAATAAAGAACCAGGCTAATACCAAACTCAAAAATCCCAGTTAATTGTATTTTTAATATTTTCTTTTGAAAAATATAAAAAGTGCAATTTACTATAGTTCATAAAGGAGAAAAATCATATAATTGCCATCTTAGATGCAGAAGACTTCAATAAATTTAAGATTAAATTTTCATGATATTTTTAACAGCTCAGGCTATGATTTTGATGTTAAACATCTCCCAAAGGCCCAGATGCTAAAGACTAAGCCGTCATCTTGTGGGCCATTGGGAAGTGGTGGAACTTTGATGGTGTCTCTTGGCTGTCAACTTGCCAGGATTTAGAATTGCCTAGAAGTCAACTCTAAGCATGTCTGTCAGATGTTTCCAGAAAGGCATAACAAGTGAAAAGGTAAAGCCTGAGAGGCATCCTTCCACAGGCTATGTGCTGACTAAAGAAAACAATTGGAAGCCAGGCAGTGGTGGTGCACACCTTTAATCCCATAGCACTGGGGGGAGGAGGGGGCCAGGGAGCGAGCAGAGGCAGGCAGACCTCTGTGAGTTCGAGGTCAGCCTGGTCTACAGAGGAAGTTTTAGGACAGCCAGAGCTACACAGAGAAACTCTGTCTCAAAAACACAAAAATTAAATTAAAAAATTAATAAATAAAAACCCAAAAACTATTGGAATCTAAGCACTCACCTCTCTGCTTCTTCACTGCTCCCTCATGTTCCTGCTACAATGCAGTCTGTATAGACTATACCTAAAAAGCATGGAGCAAAAGAAAGCCTTCCTTCCATAAGTCACTTTTGTCACAACAGTGAGAATAGTCGCTACAGTTAGGTGACTCAGAACTTGCTCTTGGAGGGGAGAGTGAGACCCTGGAGCTTCCTTTTTCTTTGCTTCTTGGCTGCCACAAGAGAACAGGCCTTCTTTGCTACATACTCCCGACATACTGTGCCACCACAGACCCAAAGCAGCAGGTCCCTGTGACCATGGGATGGAACCTCTGAAACTGAGTCAAAGTAACTCTGTTGTGGAACATTCCTTGCAGTGTGTGGCTGTATGTCGCTGGGACTGGTTTAATCAAAAGCTAAATGGCCAATAGCTAGGCAGGATCTTCAGGGCATGGAGAACTCTGGGAAGAAGACAGAGTCACCAGCCAGATGCAGAGGAAGCAGGAAAGCAGGATGGACAGTACGTAGATAAGGCAAATGAGCCTTGGGGCAGCACATAAATTAATAGAAATGGGTTAATTTAAGTTGTAAGAGCTAGCTAGAAACAAGCCTAAGCTGTTGGCTGAGATTTCTTAATAATGTCTCCATGTGGTTATTTGGGAGCTGGTTAGCAGGACAGAGAAAGTCCGATTACATTACTCTCTGTAAGTTTATTTATTTATCTGGTTTTTCAAGATAGGGTGTCTCTGTATAACAGCCCTAAACTGTCCTTAAACTCACTCTGTAGACCAGGCAGGCATGGAACTCAGAGATCTGTCTACCTCTGCCTTCCAAATGCTGGGCTGGAATTAAAGGTGTGTGCCACCATGCCTGGCTAAATTGATTTATTTTTTAGGATTTATCACAGCAACAGAATGACAATACACTAAGCAAGAAATAGAGACTGTCTTTCATCTAATAAGAGTATTTAAAAACAAAAAGATGCTGGTGTGGTAACACATCTTTGTAATCCCAGCCCTTGGGAGTCTAACCTGGGCTACATAATGAGAACTTGTCTCCAAAATTCAAAACCATAACGAACACAATCAAAAACCTATAGCAGACCACCGTCTGAGTGGTAAAAAGTTTAGTTTTCTCACTAAGATCAAGAGTAGATATCCATGATAGTCACATTTGAGATGAGTTGAATTTTGCTGTTAGGACATATTGAAGTCCTAACTTTTATACCCCAAGATGTGGCCATATTTGGAAATAGGATAGTTACAGATGAGGTCAAACTGAAGAAGAGTGTGCACCTAATCTACTCTGACAGGAGTTTTTACACTAATATGGCCATAAGAAGATACCTGAGACAACACAAAGAATGATGTTATACCACTGTAAGCCAACAATCTCCTTTCATAGTACACACACACAAACTCTATCTCCTATTTATTCTGTCTCTGGGGAATGCTGGCTAACACAAATAGTGATGAGGGACTCACGCTGCCCCATTATTTTGTTTGTTGAGACAAGGATTCATGTACCCCAGTCTGGCCTGGAACTTAATATGTAGTCAAAGATGACCCTGAACTTCTGATCTTCCTGTCTCTGCCTCTCAAGTTCTGGAGTTGTAGATGTATGCTATCATGCTAAATATTTGATTTCTACTTTGGGTAAGTCAGTTACCTAGGTAGTTCAGTTCAGAAAAATACTTTAAGCTGAAGTACTTAACAGTTTATGTGCTTATGGTTTATGTACTTTGTGTTTGTGATAGTTAGTCTTGATTGTCATCTTGGGATTAGTTCTGTGAGTTTCTAAATTAGGTTAATTGAGGTGTGAATGACCCACCTTATAGGAGGGTTTGTACCAGTCTATGGGCAGGGATCTCAGGATGAATAAAACAGTGGTTCTCAACCTTCCTAATGATGCAACCCTTCAGATACAGTTCCTCATGTTGTAGTGATCCTAAACAATAAAATTCCTTTTGTTGCTACTTCATAACTATAATTTTGCTACTGTTATGAATCAGAATGTAAATATCTTATGCTTTCTGATGGTCTTAGGTGACCCCTGTGCAAGAGTCACTCAACCCTCCGAAAGTGAGTTGAGTATCTGTCGTGACCACACTCTGCTTCCTGGTTTCAGATACAGAGTGACCATAGCTTCTTCACAGTACTGAACTGTAAGTTGAAACAAAAAATTCCATCCTTAAGGTGCTTCTAGTCACAGCAACAGGGCATGAAACTCAGAAAATTGGTAGTGATAAACTTGATCATGTTTTGGAACTGGTTTGTTAAGAGGGTTGTAGAATAACTTCAAACTTTAGCCTAGAAAAGCTCTTGAAAGCTGTAAGCAGAGCTTAATGGAATGTTTCCTTAGGAGTTTGGAAGACCAGAATGCGAAGAAAAAACATCATGAAGGCCAGATTCATGAGGTTTCCAAGGGGAACAAGACTTGGGAACTGGCTGAGAGGCCATTCAGTATTCTTTTTTTTTTTTTGGTGGGGGGGGAGGGGCAGGGGGAAGTTTTAGTTTTTCAAGACAGTGTTTCTCTGTGTAGCTCTGGCTGTCCTGGAACTTGCTCTATAGACCAGGCTGGCCTTGAACTCAAGAGATTTGCTTGCCTCTGCCTCCCAAGTGCTGGGATTAAAGGTGCGCCACCACCGACAGCCATCAGGCTGTATTCTGCTTGTGTCCTGACAGCTTGAGTGAGGATGCAGTTACAGGCAATGGACCAGTCTGCTTAGTGGAAGAAATCTCAAGACAGGATAGCATTCAGGCTGTGGCAGTTACTGCTTACCAGAGCAGAAAGATACAAAAAGTATGCAGTTGCTATGGAAAAAAAGTAAGCTGAATCCTAAAGACAGGCAGGTTTGAAAGCGTATGTAATTGTCAAACAGATTATCACCATTAAAGAGGAACCTGATTCATTGAACAGAAGAATTCAAAAGCTGTTCTGAGTGCAAGGCTCCACTCCTCAAGGGCTGTATCTTATACAAGTGAAAATTCACTTAAAAGGACCTTACTATATAGTCCAGGCCAGAGTTGAACCCAGAGATCCATCTGCATCTGCCTTTCAAGTGCTAAGATTAAAAGTATGTGCAACCACACCAGGCTTCTGTTTCATTTTTAAAGCAAAACTTGTCCTTAACTTGCCTGGTACTTTGACCCTAACAGTATTGTTTTATTATATTTAAAGGTTTGCTAAGTGTGGTGGTTTGAATAAAAATGGCCCACATAGCTGGGCGGTGGTGGCGCACGCCTTTGATCCCAGCACTCGGGAGGCAGAGCCAGGCGGATCTCTGTGAGTTCGAGGCCAGCCTGGTCTACAAAGTGAGTTCCAGGAAAAGGCACAAAGCTACACAGAGAAACCCCCTGTCTTGAAAAACCAAAAAAAAAAAATGGCCCACATAAGTCTATAGGGAGGTTTGGCCTTGTTGGAGGAAGTGTGTCACTGGGGGTGGGCTTTGAGGTTTCAGATGCTCAAGGCAGGCCTAGAATGTCTCATTCTCTTCCTGCTGCCTGATGATTTGGATGAAGAACTCTCAGCTACCTCTCCAGCACCAGGTCTGCCTGCATGTTGCCATGCTTTCTGCCATGATAATGGACTAAACCTCTGAAACTGTAAACCAGCTGAAATGAAATGTTTTCCTTTATAAGAGCTGCCGTGGGCATGGTGTCTCTTCACAGCAAAAGAACACTGACTAAGACACTAAGTAAATCAAATTATGTGAACACCCACTGGAGCATCTGACTTATAAAAAGACACAGTTTGGCCGGGCGGTTAAGAGCACCAACTGCTCTTCCAGAGGACAATTCAGTTCTCAGGCATGTTACAACTACCTGTAACTTCAGCTCCAGGGGATCTGAGGCCTCTGGCCCCAAAAGGTACCTGCACTAACATGTTCATACCCACATGCATACATACATACACACATAAAAAAATACAATTTTTTAAAAGATGTAGCTATTTTTTAAATTGAGACAAAATGTCATTAAAAAAAAACCATCAAAAAGTATGTTTAATTAATTGACAACAGAGAAAGCTGGTCAAAGAAAGGCAAGCAAATTTTGTCGAGTAAGAATTAGAACCGAGGAGCTCCATAATCATCTGGCATTCGTTCAATGTTGTACCTGATCAGGAAGGAAAGTAGACACTGTTAAGAAAGGAGGTATGGTACAGAACCCATCGGAGTCCCCCCACCCCCCCCCCCCCCCCCCCCCCCCCCCCACCCCCCCCCCCCCCCCCCCCCCCCCCCCCCCCCCCCCCCCCCTCCCCCCCCCCCCCCCCCCCCCCCCCCCCCCCCCCCCCCCCCCCCCCCCCCCCCCCCCCCCCCACCCCCCCCCCCCCCCCCCCCCCCCCCCCCACCCCCCCCCTCCCCCCCCCCACCCCCCCCCCCCCCCCCCCCCAACCCCCCCCCCCCCCCCCCCCCCCCCCTCCCCCCCCCCCCCCACCCCCCCCCCCCCCCCCCCCCACCCCCCCCCCCCCCCAGATGAGGTGTTAGTCAAATATTCTCTCTCTCTGAGATGGCCTCAAATGCACTGAGTAGCAAGAATGATCTTGAATTTCTGGTCACTATTTCCCCAGTGTTGGGAATACAGGTATTCTACCATGCCCAGTTTTATCCATGCTGAAGATCAAGCTCCCTGCAAGAATCTCACAAAAAGGATATTTCTACCTAAAAGGGATGAGCTTAACTTAAAGTAATGCTTTGTATAAAGCAATAATGACCTTCTAATAATCTGATTGTACAAATTTGATGTTTGTTTCATTCCTAAATTCTATCTTTATCTTCTGCCCTTATTCATGCTATTTTGTCTCATTTCTTCAACTTGAAATGTAAACAAGCTAGTGTAATTTCTTTGAAATCCTCTATAACTTTATAACCTGCTCTCACTTTAACTGATGACCAACTGCATGCCTCTAATCACTTTCCAATAGCAACTTCTCACCTATGGTTAGAAATGTACATGATAGGAACTCCAGGGATCTTTCGGATTCTTCGTTTGAGGTCCCGGTCAACTGTGGCCACAATGTAACACTTGTGCTGAAAGAGAAGCCCACTAATGTTTACACAGGACTCACAGAGTATATGCACATACAACCACTGAATAGTCCCTTCACAGTAACCAGCAGAAGAAAGGATACTAAGACCTACGAGATATTTATACAATAAAATATATAAGCTACCTGGCCTCAATGTGGTCTTATGAATCTTGAGGGGAAGAAAGAAGTGTTTCAGCTGCAAACTGCTTTCTGTCTCACACATGGGAAGGACTGCCACAGTTAAGGTGGACAGTTCCTTAGTTTTGGGAAACCCCCCTGACTGACTCTATGTAAATGACGTATATGGAGGGCACAGATCTTCCTTCCTCTGCTCTTGTGGCTTAGGGGTACTCTGAAGTTCTTTAGTGGAAGAAGTAGGCAGGTCCTGGGCCAGGAGAAGGACCTCTAAGATTCAAAACCCCAGTTTAGCTTAACATTAACTATCCACTGGAAGCTATTTTGTTATAGTTTACTTCGTATACAAATCTCCATTGAGTTCTCTAAAACTTTTACCACTGTGCTGGCAGCTGTGATGTGGTTCCAGCTATGGATCGAGTTGCTAAAGGGCAGAGTGGTCGTTAAATGAAGATGGCCGGCCTTAGCAAGGGCCAAGCTCTTCTTCTCTTCATTCCTTCCTTTGCAAGGGCCTGGTTCTTTTCTTTCTTTTCTTTTCTTTTTTCTCAGCACTGTTGTTCGAAGATCAAATCCAGGGCCTGGTGCATACGAGGGAGCACTCTATCACCAAGCTACAACTCCAACCTGAGAAAGGTTCTTATGTGAACAATCAATAGCAGATGTTCTGTGTTGTTTGATGAGCAGTTCAGAATGAAGGAATTCAAAAAGGAATTAATCCAGGGTATGTGAGAGATAGCACCCTGGGAGATTCTCAGACTTAACTAAGAAAACATTTCTGAGTTAGGTATGGTGGGGAGGAACATCATTCCTGCATGGGGTGGAAATGGAACCTTATTTAAGATTTACATGGTGGTAGAATGTGATATATTATTTTAGCTACATGAATTCACTTAAAACACATTATAGGGGATTTGTGGAATAAGACCCCCATCATTGTCCCAAATCACATAGTAAGCTAATGCAGATGCTGGAATTGTTTTTGTTTTAAGACAGGATCTCACTGTGTAGTCCTGGGTGGCCTAGAACTCACTATGTAGATCAGGCTGGCCTTGAACCTTGAATGGAGATCAGTTTGCCTCTTCCTCCAATGGGCAAGGTGCTGAGATTTGAAACCAGACTTCCTTCCCAAGCACATACTTCTCCCTTTATGGTTAGAGCACAATTTTTTTAAATCTACTTTTTCAAGTAAATGGTATCTAAGCTGCTTATGAACTGCTAAATATATATATATATATGCTTTATATATATAAAGATATATAAAACATAATATACAATATCCTTATATAAATATATAATATCTGATATTTATATAATATATATGTATATTAAGAAAAACCTACCCTAAATACCTTACTGAGCTTGAATGTTCAGAAGGTAATAATTTGTGCTCCCCCTTTTTTTGAGGGGGGTGTTTCTAACTGTAATAGCTGGCTATGTAGACCAGGTTGGACTTAAACTTACAGAGGTCCACCAGTCTTTGCCTCTAAGTGCTGGGATTAAAGACAAGTATTACCTCACCTAGCTAGTGTTTTTTTTTTCCTCACACACAAAAAAAATCCCTGATTTATTTGTCTGTGTATAGTGGTATGTGCATGCACCACATGTGTGCAGGTGTCTGCAGAGGCCAGAAGAGGGCATCAGAACTGGAATTACAGAAGACTGGGAGCCACCTGATGTGAGTGTTGGTATCTGAATCTGGGTCCTCAGCAAGAGCAGCAAGTGCTCTTGACCACTAAAACACCACCTCTTCAGCTCCAGCTTGCCACTTTTTTCTTCTTTTTTATTGTGTTTTTTCAAGAAGTTTCTCTGTGTAACTTTGGCTATCCTGAAACTCACTCTGTAGATCAGGCTGGCCTCAAAGTCACAGAGATCCACCTGCCTCTGCCTCCCAGGTGCTGGGATTAAAGGTGTGTACCACTACTGCCCAGTTTTTTGGTTTTTTTTTTTTAAGCACAAAATAACCATTTAAAAAGTGATGCTGTACCTGAGTGACTCTCTGGACCAAGCAGTCATCAGCATAGGTTCCTTTATGTGTGCATGGAAGTCGGTCAAATCGTGGATCCTTGGCGATCCTGCAGGATTGTAAAGGTGGATTAAAGAAAATGTTCCAACCAGTAAAGCAAAGGTAACGTGATCTACGTGGGGATTATGAGGTGCCCTCTAGCCTCTGAAGGCTCTTTTTTTCATTTTATGAGGAAGGGAATTTTGTTGTATGATATTTTGTTTCTGTTCTGACAAATAAAGCTTGCCTGGAAATCAGAGAAGACTTCTTACCTCTA